GATCAGTATTTCAAACTGAATAATTTATATTAATGTACATAAAACAGATTGTTAATAATTAAGTGTGTTTGTTAGTGTGTCTCTGTGTGTCATGTGTTTGTGTGTGATGGTGACGTGTGTCTATATGTGACGTGTGTGTGTGTACTAATACATACATTATGATGTGTCTGTGTATGATAGTGCATATAATGTATGTGAGAATTTATGAATGTATGACGTGTGTATGTGATGTGTATCTATAATGTGCATGTTATGTGTGTGTGAGTATTATCATGTATCTGTGTGTGTGTGATGTTTGTATATGTACATGTATCTATACATAAGCTAATGTGACATGAGTGTGTGTGTGTGTAGGTTCATGTTATTTATTATCATTTTTAATAAAGTTCTGTATCACATGAGTCACAAATTAGCCACATACAATGTTCCATGAGTTTTGTATAATTATTCATTAACAATGATAACTGACATATACCAGAATAGATTAGTAATCTTGAAATAAGGAGACCCCCTGGACCTCTCCTTCATGTGTACAGGTGTGGTGTGTGTGATGGTGTGTGTATCATGTGATAGTGATGTGTGTCTATGCATGATGTGTATGTATAAATAATAATGTACACACATATACACATACATATGTATGATGAATGTGTATAATGTATGTGTGTGTATGTGGTAAGTAAGTGTACATGAATGTTTGTACATTATTATTAGATCAATGGATATCTCCTGTTGTTACTGGAGACAGACCACCTCCTATTGATGACTTCACTCTAACACCAGTTACTAATAACACTGCAGTAATGTTTGGAGGCATTATTGATAATGGAGAGAGTAATAAACTGTATATGATAAGTTTCACTAAGACATCAGTGGTGAGTTAATACTGTAGGATGGGTTTTGATAGTGAGATTTGTTTGATTTCAACAAAGCCGTATAGCAGGATTTATTGATGAAGGTTTTATTTTGACGAGTTGACCATTTTAAAACATCAAATTTTATAATCGTCACTGGGCACTGTTCATTAAATTAAAACTTGCCAACTAGGAAAATTTACTGTTTTCGTCGAATTTTTACTCGTCAATAAATCCAGCTATACGGTAATTTATAATTATTTTCTTACATTGATTTTATGATTCTCTCAGGATATATTAGAAGTAGCCAATCCTGCAGGATCAGTACAATGGCCTAAGGGAAGACGGGGACATTCCAGTGTACTGATTACCACTAGTTCAGGACCACACTTACTAGTGGTGGGGGGATATGATGTCTATGATGTATGGTTACTGGACATTAACAAAAGAAAATGGAAAGAACTGGTAAGTATTATATTATGATGCTTGATAATGAAACATAAAGTGATTAAATAAATTTGTAACTCATGAGGTTTGTAATGTACATGTACATATTATGATACTCAGTGAAAACTACTGATGAACGAGACACCTACGGTGCATGGCCTCGCCCCTATAGCTGCTATGGTGCATGCCCGCACTGCAATAGCTGTTTGATTATCAGCATGAAGAGAGTCTGCTCAACACTAGCTTCCTACAGTTGCACTTGCTCTTGAATACCTGCAGAAGTAGCAGCACTGCAGC